TTGCATGCCCGACAAGTGGGGTGTTATTGAGTCACTGCGCCTTGCAATAGTTGTGATTTTAAAATAGCGTAATCGTTGACAACAAATTAGTCAAACTTAGAAATTACTTATGCGGGTAGCAGTTGTCGCGTACAGGTGAAGCCAGTAAGAGGCGGCGATCTTATTTTATATATATATATATATGGCGCCTAAGCTCGCCGCGACAATGACATCGGATATTCGCTTAGACAGGATCATCATACTGGTTTCGACAATCTCACAAGTGTGTTTCACGCTTGACCTTCTTGCAAGATGTGTTGTATCTTTATGACCTTTTTATGTTCTCTGTTATACAAGGATTCATCAGTTTCCAGATGTTTTCTATCGCATAATAACATTGGATAGGCAGATTCCTGGACCACTCTTGAACCGTCAAACTTAGCGTAGGTAAATATTTGTTTGTCCCTGAAGTTCGCTCCGAATTTTGAAGCGGTTGAAGTTTTGGTGCCGCAAAAAAGTTGAGTGAAGCAAAAAGCAGTTGTTTTATATTTGTAGGGGTTGTCTTCCGATTTTGGCACCATGTTCTATTTGATTACATATTTCAGCTAACGTTCACAAGGCGCCAAAGATGGAGATCTCAAAAGTATATTTAAAATCAATTTTAAAAATTTGTTTCTGGAAGGCGCTAAATGTGACAAAAACTCGTGAGTAAATTTGTACATGGAACCGCTACTGTAACCGACTGTAGGTAGACTCTGTAAGCCGTCTTGCCGCAAGATGAGGCACATCCGAGACGATCCTCTGACTTTGAGGGCGCTGAAATGCTTATTGTAGTCGATCAGAACCTATATATGAGTCTTCGTTAATTAATTTACAATAATGTCACTCAGGCAGATTGTAATCAAAGTATGGGAGTGCCCTTTAAACAAGAGCTAGAACCGGACTTGATCCAAAGATGATCGCTGTGCCTTTGGTGGAATCGTCAAGTTCTGCTTTTCTATAAACTTTCCTCAAACGACCGGGTTTCCAGTTTTTTGAACAAAAAGTTTTCATTCAGAACAATGAAGCGAACTTATGGGACGAGCAAATTCTTCTGTAAGCAACGTGCCGTGTCACTTAAAGCTTTGACCTTTTCGAATACGTAGCTTCCGCCGTTGAGCTGTTAAATACAACCTATTATTATTGACAATCACCTCCCAATGAATTTATTCGATTCTGTTAGATGAAAGCTTCCAAAGCAGCAAACTGAGATCATTTGCCATATAAAAGCTCATCAGGCCATTTAATATTTAAGGTGGCGCTATTTCTATAACGTTTTTTATATCGATAAAGGGTGTTCTGCTTTTATTTTAGGGCCCTTCTATAAATAATCCGAGAAATACGTCCTTATCTAATACTCAGCTGTGCTGGTGTACTCCTTCATAATTCTGGGTTAAATGTTGTTTTTTTTCGCCGGCTTATGTCCATTGAAGTCACACTAGTTACCCATGTTAACGTTCATCTCATGAATGATCATGAAACTCGAATCGATCACTTGTTATGCGATAAAAAATGCAGTAAAAAAAAGGGAATCTGCAGGATTACCCTTTGGAATGGAACATGAGCTTATATTTAAAAAAGACATAGACCCTCAGTTCAGAAAAAGAGAGCTCACAATTTAAGCAGCGTCACTTTCTGCTATGTATTTATCTTTTTTGTAACTGGGCATTTAATTTTTTCTTGAACTGTACACGTGCGTATTATATAGAGTCATTTTTGCCGTTATCTTCTACTTAATAATACATTTTCTTAAGATGAAACATCAAGTGCGATTTTAACACCGCTTGAGACATTGTAAGCCATATTAGCTTAGTGCCATTGACAACAGGCGCATAACGCAGACGAAGTGAATATTTTATACTAATTAAGAAATTTCACTGCGTGGATTACAATTAAGAGATTATTGCAGATGGGTTAGCAGAAGTAGCGCAAAAAGGGCAAATATCATGAAGTCAGAGGAGATGGATATCGAGTGGCTTAACTGGCCGACCAAGCGGAACAAACTGTATCTTTCGGGTGATATAGCTCAACCTTAATGACCTTATGCGACGGAGACACGTTGCATTGTTTTCTCATTAGGTTACGTCGTAAACCCTTTTTGTGGTAGAATTTTAGTCGTGAAAGATTGGTAAGATGAAAATCAGTCTTAATGAATCTTAACCTTAATGAATCCTTAATGCAATTTCAAAAAGGTATTATCAACAGTTCTGATGTTAAGTATCTAAACAAATGTCCTATACTGCGTCTGCCCTGATTGTTCGTGAGTGGTAGGAAAGCATCCCTGAATCGGCATCAGTACACATTTTGTCTGGTAACTGAAATTCTTAGGTGTGCGATGTTACAAAATTTTGAGACCATAGGCTTCATAAGAGTTCTACAATAGTAACAATGACTTGGTGACAAGAAATAAAGAACAATTTATTTTTATTAATTAGGGGCCTGATATGAAATTCTTCTTTTAATATTTCGCATAAAGTTATATGACTAGGCTTTATACATTTGTAGTATCTGCGCCAATAACTTTTAAGGACTGCCTTTCGTTGCATAGGGAAAAATCAGAAAAGGTAATTTTTTGACCATTCCTAATATTTGGCATAAAAAAAATAGTAAAAGAATGGAAACAGAGTTTAAAGATACTGACGTTTCGAAATTATTATTTTTAAAACAATGCTTAAAAAAATGGGTACCTATTTCTATGTCTCCCACACACTACGGTCATCGGTCTTTAAGGAATATAAAAGTTCCGTATCACTTGATCGGATAGTTGAGATTAGAATCCGCACATTTTTTTGAATTTTTTGAACAACTTTTGAAAAATATATCTGTTTTATAACGTACAATTCATCTTTTATTTGCTAAATCTTTTGAGACAAATGAGAAAATGGTTACAAACTTAGCTTTTTAAATCATTTTAACGAGAGTCAATTTGTACATGTTTATTCTATATACATACATTAATGTAAAGCTTAATTTCTTATTAATGCTTGTATATCGTTTTACTCTAGAGTGGTTGATATTCATGGGGTTCGTATTTGCTTAAACAAACATTTGCTTAAATTTAAGAACTCTGTTTAATTTAAGAACATGTTTTAACACGGCCTGGGAGCAATTTCGACAAGACGTAGTGCTAGTATATCTCATTCGCTACGTAATTTTTAGTTAACCTCTTTTTTTATTAACAATTTATTATTAAGAATTTTTTATTGAATTATGCAGATCTGTCACATACAGTATACTTGGCATACATGCAAAACGAAATCCAAGGAACCAAAGATTTTATTATCTATTATTTTCATGTTTTATGCAAGTTTACTAATAAATACCTAGTCAAAGAAATTTCAAATGTATACTATTATTGTTTTAACTGCTCTCATTTTGTTTTATCAACAATAATGTAGTGATAGGTCCGCTGTAATATGGAAGCAAAACTCAAAGCATTCCTTTTTTTAGGTGGTTTCTGTACGTTATCGCGGCTTAAATCCTTAAACAAAGATCATCGTGATGGCAAAGTCATGCAAAATATATGTTAGCGAAGTTAAAATCGTGATTTAATTGGCTAGTTCGTAGCTAAATGCAACCCTTGTCAGTTCATCGCATTATTTATCGAGCACGCGGCAACACGTCGTCGATGCACATGCATACGCGTACAACCCGCCGCTGTAAATAAAACCCGCAAGTGGCGCAAATAATACTTTAAATTTATGTATGGCCACTCGAGGACAACATGATATTTTTAAGCAATTTCAGTCTTCCAGTTGCCGTTTGTCGAGGTTTTTCGTCGAAGTAGCAGAATTCTGTTATGTGTATTTTGAAGATTATTGAGCAGAAATAAGCTATTGTTTTTTTACAAACCCTCCTGTTCGTGGATGAACATTGTATGCTAAAGTCGCTCAAAATTTATTCCTCTTTTTGGGATTTCTGCTAAATACCGGCGTATAGATTACAAGACTTGCTAAATGATTATGGCATGACATACGTAACCTTAGAACTTACTTAAAATACGCAGGTTTTGCTTTGTCTTGGTCACCCGCTTGCTTTTGTTTTTTGAAACGATGCCAGACAGTTTGTGTTTCATGCGACATTACAGACGTGATCTTTATATCAACAATTTTGAAATGAAATCTTAGCCGGTACGAGTATAATCTAAGCCAGGACACAGATAGAACGTATTTACTCTATGTGTATTCCTACTATTCCGACGACATCTTATAATTCTTAAACTCGAAGGGTAACTGGAATGCGAAACAAGAAACGATTCTGGGGCCAATAAAAATTAGGTGTATTAAGGAATCACTTTGAATAAGTGATAAGTAATTTAATCACATATCTCATTTGATATTCTAAGTCAAGCAAAGGTTTACTATGACTCTAATGACGTTTGCGATTTTTCACGCGAAAACTCTAAAGGGAAAATACTTGTTTAAAACGGTTTGACGGGAGAAATATAACCGCATACACCCATTAATAAGAATGCATTGGCCTCAAGTCTTGAACAATATGAATAAAATGGCGTATGGTTGCTTTTGCGTACGATGAAGGAAGTATTCAGTGTAATGAAAAAAGGGATTACGTGGGATGAAATTTAAATTATTTATTCAAATAACTTTAACACAAAGCTAACGCAGTATGCACTAGTACCAACTTTGTTCAGTTGGCTCTTTAATGTAGTTGGTAATTATTATATTTACACAATCCTATTCATTTAAGCCTGCGCCAGACCAACAATCTAATTACGTACATTGATGTCCACCGTCTAAATGGTGTATAAAATACACCCGGTTGTTAATATATTATTGAGGTTTTCAAACCTATTTAATTTTGATTAATTGCAAATAGTTCGTCCTTTTACTTTTTTTCTAAAAAGATATGATCTTTGAAGTTATTCTGTCGTAAATGCCATTTTAACATTCAGTTCAAATTCGACTATTTTCATCTTTCTCTAAAATTAACTAAAGGTGGACTTGTTTTTACTGCGTTTGCAGTAGTAAATTCCGCGAACCCCATTAAGTTCTTCAATCAGGACACTGGAGAGACTGCGAGAGCGAAATAAGCTACGCAATATGTAAATTAACTACATGCAAAATCTTGGAAATTTTAACTAGTTATACTTGCTTCTGCGTCAGTTGGATAGTACGGTGCGCAAGCCTTGCAAACGGAAGACATCAGTGAGGTAAAGCAAAAAGGTGACGTACTGCAAAACGTCGTGCACTTCATTCTGGATTTGGCGCGACTGAAGGTGTGTATTATCGAGTCTATAGTTATTGTGGCGTGCGGGCGGAAACGGCAATGCTGGAGAGAATGACGCCAAATTTCTCGTCAATCGTCGAGAATGTCCAAATGGCTCGTGAATTGGCACTGTTGGGCAACTATGAAAGTGCAGTGGTATATTATGAAGGAGTCATGCAAAGCGTACAGGGGGTGCTGCGAGGCATTTCACAAGACAGCGTTAATGATGGACACCGTTTGGAAGCATGGAAAACGGTAATTTTCCTAATATATATGGTGTGATATACAACGATTACACTGCGGAGTAATATCAGGTCAAGCTAGTATTTAGCTTGAAGATATATATACCTTCAATCCCTTAGACATACGAATCGCATTATCTTTGTATCAAAGGCTTCAAAACAAAGAATGGCTGGTCTTTGATTTGACACGGTATTTTATTTATTTCATGAAGGCCAAAAATATATCTCTACCTTGGGTACTGATTAGGGTAGCTTTAGGCTTTATATCTTAATGGCTTTGTTGATGTGCATTTTGTGTGACAGATTCTTCATCAGATGAGTACAGAGTACAATCAATTGAAGGAAGTAGTTTCTACGCTGTCTGGCTTCAAAAACGAACCTGATCTTCGCGTGGCCGTTTCTGGGATGAATAAAATGAATAACGGTGAGTTTCAGAATTGCCGCATAGCCTTCTGCTGCCGCAATTTACTCATTCCGTCAGATAATTATTCCAGTCTCATGACATATAACCTCACACTGCATTCCTGGATCGCGGTTCCTTTTTAGATCGTCATTGCGATCGGCAATTTCTTGCTTTTACATATAAAAATTGTCTCATTGTCAACATTTGGAGAACGTTAGTAGTAAACATTGAACGACTCTCCTGTTTGACCAAATTTTAAAATGCTTATTGTATTCACAAATTTGTATTTAGAATGCGAATAATTAAGATTATTGTTCATTACTTTTTGTAGGTGCTGGTAGCGCTTTAACCCATTTGCCTCACGCCTGGACACTTGGCCCATCGGGGGAGATGCACCCTATTACGATGGGAAGTCACGGAGACCTAATGATGCAACAACAATCCCACGACCCCGATGTTTGGGGACCGCCGCCAGAAGACAGGTGAGTCCTTAAAATTGTTATAACAAAGATCGATTTTATGTGAAAAGCCGTTTGCAACATTTTAAGAGGTCACAAGATAGATATTTGGGAGAAAAGGTTATTATTTATTATATGCCTTACCTTAAATACGTGAATGTCAAGTTTGAATAGGCTTATGAGGTACAAATAAGATCTTTATTCGCTCGCTTACATATATATTCTCACATTTTTTCTCTTCTCAAATAAAATTTTATTCACATCTTGATATAACAGCATTAGTATAAGAATTAATGAATGAGGATTACTAATACGGTGGCTAGTTAAGCTATGAAAGCTCTGAGCCGTTGAGAAAAGCCCGTGATATGAAATTCAGGCATTGTGTACAGCAACAGATGACATTTGAATTATAACAACTAAGTTTATAATAAAGGAGATGAGGGGACTGATCATTAACGCATAATGGTAGAATTAAAATGACTTTTAGCAATAATGCCTATCATATAATTTATTGTAACGCTGGTTTCGAACCATGCGTTCTTTGTTTATACATTTGAACAAACTAAAGGTAATTGTGCGCTTTCACCAGGCGGAATCATTAGATCAGTGACACATAGCAAAAAGTATACTTAATGTTTACAAAAAATAGTTCTAGGATTCTCGTTTAAGTAAGTTGGATTTTCATAATCGAAATGATGGAGTGCTTCCACATTAATGGCATTTTCTACCCGACACAAGCAAAGGGCGTAGGCATTGTCTCTAAGAAAAGCTTCATGTGCTATTGTACTTCGTTCTTTGTATGTGCTTTATGAATGATTGCCTGGTGAGCATCAGCGTTGATCTGAAGTAGGTGAAGGAACCGATATACATAATTTTTTGTATCGTTTACTATTAGCGCGTAGAATGAATTTTTCATTGCAAAGCGTCATTACCTGTATCTGTTAATATTCGCCATAATTGCGAACACGCTTTTTTAACAGTTCGAGACCTGTCGAATGTAGTGCGTGTTACTGGAAGTGATAAGATAAATGATATAGAAAAGAACATACACATCGGTATGATTTTAAAATTTTTTTTTCTAGACGACTAAGCACTGTTGAAAAGGGGCTTCCGAAATTACCCTTAGGCTTGCGTCATTCAAGGTAATTAGATTCTTCAAAAGTATATTTTATAACAGGTTAAAACACGCTTCAACACAAGGGAGCAGGCCAGAATGATAACTACAAACGGACTTGAGGCTATATTGAATACGAAACAAAGACCCATCAAGATTTACAGATACTGCACCGTTCTGCTAAAGACATGGTCAGATTCTTCCAAAAGTATCACACCTGTTGTGAAATTGGAGTGACATGTCCAAAACCTTTACTGTTTTTCTAAGATGAAACATACAAATTCAAGGTTTAATAACAAGCAGTGCGTGAAGAGATGTGTGGAGAGCTTGTAACGATGAATTTACTTTGCTGTCTTTCGCGTATTTGAAGTATCCCTGGAATTGGTATTACAGAAAGAAGGACTGATTGTTATTTCTGAACCCTCTCGTTCCTCGTATAATCATCAAGTTGAACCATTTAGCACAATATAGTAAAAATAATTTTTTGCAAGCATTTATTCCAAAAAGTTTGCATTTGAGACTTTATAATTTTCACCACAACTCTTGTAATTTGAAGGCACGAATGAATACAACCGATACAACCTATAAAACCGATTAAAAGAACTGTCAAACGAAGTACTATTTAAACCATCGTAATACATTAAAAATGTTGAATTGAAGTGCCCCATAGGCAGGACAAGCCATACCCATGTTGAGTCGCACACAGTGATAAAATTTTGCTTGGAACTCCGTTTTTTAAGCTCTTATTTATTCATTATCCCTACTTACCTACTCGTTATTTATCAATATACACCGGTTTAATAAGTTACAGGGTTACAATAAAGGAGAATAATTATGGTCACATGAACAGATGAGTTAACCAGACAACGAGATATTATCATTCTATCATTGCAAATATTCCTGAACCCATAGTCATAGGCCAATGTACAGGTTTCAAGCGAGTGTTACATTGTAAAAATAGAATGGTCAAAAATAAAGAAGACCATTGCATCGATTAAACCATAACTGCATATGCATTCCATAGTTTATTACAGTCATGAAATCAGTTCATATCTATGTAGACTTCGTCACGGTGGGTATCATGTTCTTCATGCCCCTCATGTATAGCTGCTTCTAGCAAAGCCGTATGGCCTCCTAGTAATCGCTTTTCGCCCGGGAACGTACGGGGATCCCGTTTCTCTTTGCAGCAGCTGTTTTTATCATTCGTACATACGACGGCAGCAACTGCTGCTACTGCTGTTCATTCTATGGGTTAATTAAGATCACTATTCAGCTCCCAGCGCCATTTGATGCAATATGAATACGATCCCATTAAAATTCAATCTGTGCGACGCACATTCTTTGCTGTATTTTAACGCTCTTTTTTGTTTTTGTTTTCTGCATATTTGCATTTTTCTAGGCGCGCATACACATGCATACGGGTGTCTCTTTAGAATAATTCTTTTAAATCGTTGAAAGCACTCGCTTAACTCAGCCCTTCATTCGTCGAATAGATTAATCCATTAGCTTGCACTCAGTTCGTAAAAAAAACACGAAATACATATATGTAGTATTTGTAAAGTAACAAATGGGCTGACTCATATTTGTTGAGCAAAAAAATAATTACCATATGGATATGTGGCTAGCGAAACATATGGTATACTATACTAATCTTTTTAGAATAATGTAATAAACTTAAAAATGTAAAAAACCTTCACGCGCTTTCAGGGTGTGTGCATATAGAGCGTAGCTCTATGCATACAATGTCGTAAACAATTCCTCAAAACTTAGTTATTTGTTATTAATATTTGGTTAGATCGTACCAAGTCAAATTGGGGTACATACAAAAAGCCTTTAGAAAATATATCAAATTGTATATTTAGAGAACCAAATGTGTCACGAAATATATGTATACCAAAATACTGAGTTCTAGCAACAATAACTTTTAATAAAAATAAATATTACAAAAAGTCATTAGGTTTTATTTAAATTTAGCTGATTTACCATACACTTATTACGACGTTTTCACAGCTTTCCTGAAATGAGGTGTTCCTTATCGGAATCATAGACGAGTGTAGAATAGCCCCCTTAGAGGACACTGAGAAGTGGCCATTTTTGCAACCTTTTGCTTTCCAAATGAACAGAACCTCCATTATTAATGTACAACTTTTTTGTGTTATTAAATTTGAGTAGTGTGCTTTACAAGTACTCGCAAATGGGTTTTTTTTTCTCTATGTGTGCACTTCAAAGGAACATTAACATATCAAATAAATACTTTGATTTCGCAGAAATAACTTTATTGTGGCGTGCTTTTTTTCGCTTTTTGGGCGCTTTTCTCCGTTCCTTTCATTTCTGTACTTATATTTTTAACAATCTTCCGTACTTGAGTATGGCAGAACAGGACCGATTTAGTTTCTTACTGCGTCATATTCTCAGATTTATTTGAGGCCGCGGATCAAACAGCAAAGTTAAGAGTGATCTCAGTTGCCCGACAGTTGGAGTCCTCAGACCCCCTATTGAACCAAACGTTCTTGAACTATTGATTCTTTTCAGTTTAATAGCATTACCTCAGAGCTTGACCTAGTCGGCACGTCAGCGAAGTCACTATCATGCTGAAGACACTAGCCTTTTTCCAAAACTGTTTAACATTTTGTAGTTAGTAAGTCGTTACATGCTTGGAAAAAATCCCGAGTCGCACTTCACTTAGCAGGTGGTAGAGACAAGTTTCCAATACGTTTCAACCCCTCACGGGATAGTAAGATCGCTTTCTAAGTCATGCAGTTAAGGTAACGAATGATTGATCGTCGTTGTTTTTTTTGTGGCTGTGACCACAGTGCATGATTAACGCAATATGATACAGAAGAAGGTGTGCGCCCTCGCAACGATTCTTTGCTATCGTTTTTGATACTCGCTAATGTAAATCTCTCGCACACATTTTAGAATAACGACGTATTTTGTTGTCACAGCTACTTCATGCCAAACCTGGCGTAACACCTGCCCTATCACTGGGAGAAAATGTGATGCTTAAGTCTTGCATGGGTTCATACTGTTTTTCTTAGAGCGCTACAGTTAATGTTTCTTCCACCAACATCTAACAATGTAATTATATCACTGGCAACTATTTAATATGAATAAGCTCGCTAAATCAGATTCGTTCATCCTTTATTGACTTTTTGTCTTCACATTTACGTTGTTGCACGTTGGGCTGAACAAACTTTAGCCGTCCGCTGCGACAAACCGCTCGTTCGACAAATCGCCGCTCCGATGCACGGAGCAATCGCCAGCCAACTTCACGGCGGGGTTCAGTGAGCAAGGACGTTTCCGGAGGTGCGGGCGGTAGTCGTGGAGGTGGAACAAATGCGCATCGGGGCGCGGGCCAAAGTGGCGCACTGCGAGCGCGAGGCGGAACTGCAGGACAACAGCACGATAATTCCCGAAGGGCTAAGGATGACAAAGTCAGTAAAAAAAAACTTTTTATAAACAAGGCGACCCGAGCAATAGCTTTACTTTTATTTTATGCATAGTTTACTAATACCACATAAGTGGTTTAGCTTAGTTTTGCAATCTGTCTATATTGATCCAAAAATACTCTGATTTTCGACAATATGCTAGACAGGGCAATACTTTAGATTTACGGTGTATATATGTGTTTAAGTCCAATGTATATAAGTAAATACCTTAGCACTTCCTGTGTGTGATACGTGCTCCTAGGCCTAGGATGTCCTGGAAGGATTGATATTTTAGAATCATTGTTTTATATTTTGGTCTGCATCTTTCTATATTTGTATATATTTGTTCTTGAGACATGGACTATGTTGCTAGAAATATTTAAATTGACGGAATGCATGTTAGAATAAAAACTTACATATGTTGAATACGAATAGGTAATAATTTTTTATGTCTCATTAGGAAGCTCATATGTTGGACTAATATCAAGATGATTGTCTATGTTTACTGTCTTAATCAAAATTGTGTTTTAATGTTTCGAAATAAAAATTTCGAAATAAATAATAGAAAAGCAGCAAATTGATAGCTGACACATATGGAGAAACGTGTATTCTACCAAACGTTGTCGGAGATTGAATAGGTGAAGTACCATCATTCTTATAATTTCCCATTTATTAAAAAACTGACTAGATCTACAAGTTATTACACAATACACCTAGCTAGAATCTCAGAATAAAGATGATTTTTAGATCCACTTCTGTAGCAAGTCAAAAATAATCTTTTATATTTTAGTTCTAGTCACTTTCGCAGAAAACTTTTAAGCGACATAGACATTTACTACTTCCAAAGCTACCTAAATCGCGTTCGGTCCACCTTCAAATATGAAATTGTGAGTATATTTAGGAAAAACGTAACACGACGCGTGTCGCCAACGAAACCAATGTTTTCGTCAATATCACACACCATCCACCTTAGGCACACTATATTTAGTGTAAAGTAAATTAATGTCGTATACGTGTAAGTATTCATTTTTTGCCACGTTTCAAAAACATGTAGTTGTATTACTACACAAATTAGTTACTATAATTCAAGCTATTGCCTACGTAATATCTCTTATTGGAGTTGGTATTGTTGACTAAGTTGCCTCGTTTTCTTATGTCTGTCCTAGAGCGGCGGTGGTAAGGAAAGTGGTGCAGGAAGCGGTGTAGAAGAGGAGAAACGATTTGAATGTGCCAATATGGACCAAGAGCTCGTGGATATGCTCGAGCGCGATATTCTGCTGAAGAATCTCAATGTACGATGGGCAGATATAGCAGATCTTGAGGAGGCTAAGAAGTGAGTATCTCAATGACTAAAGGTAAAATAGAGACTGCAAAGTGGACTAGCTCATCCTATATGTACAACATAGTCATGAGCAAATATTAACTGAGATATAAGCGTGTCTATAATATAAGAGCTACATTTCATGAAAGCTAGAATCTCAAACCTAAATTGAAAAAACTTAACAATGCCCATACTTATTAACAAATAAAGATACAAAAAAAAAACAAAAATATTGCAAAGCAACTTGCTTAGTTATTCAAATGTGAAAATAAGGAATTCATTTAAGTTACAAATGCGGGACATAAACGTTTCAAAAAAGGCAATACCGGTAACAAAGATTTTAATATATAATATATAACAAAGGTTTAGAGTATAAGTGCAGATTTAGTTTTTAGAAAAATATGAATATGAAATTTTATCATTCTACCCATTTTGTCAATCTAAATCAATGTAACTCCATCTGTTGGCGTTGTATTAAATGTCAAGTGGAATGGCGCTGTTAGCGGCGCGCTTTGACAATATGTCAGTTTTATGCTGGCGTGGGTTCAATCCTCAATAAAGGCCGAAGTGGTTTTTCGTATAAAAAAGTTTTTTGCTTATTACCCCGAGTATATCCCAATGTGCATAAGGAGCATAACCGTGCAAAGAGTACCGATTTTTTACGTATGGAACCATGCTTGCATGGTATTGACAGCCTTAATCAGCGGATGTAACCATTGCAATAAACAACGCACCTTACACGTCTTCTCGTCTGTAAAGGGCAAAGGCATCATAGGTTCGTATCTCACTGATGTGATAGACCAGATATCTAATAATCAATTAAAAAAAGCATGGCATATAGCAGTTTATATCGGAGGCTTTTTGCGGGTTTTGGCGACGTACTGAACTGGGCCTAGCTATGCCATAGAATTCCCTCTTGGATGACTCCCGTAGTAATACCTCGCGGTTCAGATGTGCAGTGATTCAATACATGGAGAACAAAGGCTGTGCGTCAACCGCGGGTCTCTTGGATATGCTTTAAAGCCTTATAATAAGCCTCATAAGCCTTTTTAACTATCATATTGAATTCACTAGATTTAAAACAAAATGTGCGCATAGTCCACATAACCTTGATGTCCTTTGTTTCGCTACAGTTATTACAACAGCCAACATTATTGTAATGGGTATGATAATTATTGATTCTTGATTTATTCAAGAATCAATAATTGTCATTTTGCGGGCGCGTCACTGAGCAATATCAAATAATATTTTCTGAAAGCTGTGGTACGGTGTCATTTATATACAGTGTGAACATATTTTATAAATCAGCTGTATTAACTTGCCTTCTGAACGAGTTTCCTAAACCAAGCTATCTTTTAGTTGGGTCGTGGAGAAGAGGGCGAGGATAATCTTTTAGGCATGATTTTTAAACGCTAATACATTTGTGTTGCATATGAAAAAAATAAACAATTTTTACATAAAAAAAGCGGGAGGCATTTAAACCACCTTAGCCGATACTTTCAGAACCACGATAAGGTTCGCTCGTGTTGAATGTATCGTATTTAGTTGAGTATGGTTCTCCGAAAAGCTTCATTGCCTTAATGGCCTAGTATGAGAAATTCCATGAAGCGTTGTTGCCTACCTCGTCGTTCTCCTATTATGTTGGTTGATGGCCAGTGGACTAACGAAGCTTACCTACCGACCGGTCGAGTGCTTGGGGCGCGATTCACCTGCGAACTATCGCGTGGCAAATATGGAAGGAGTATGAGAGAGCGGTTTAGTCTAAGATGCTGGTGCATACATTTAGCCGGGTCAAAATAAGATGTAACATTGGACAAAGCATTGAGAGAGGAAACAGTTGGGAGGTAAATACTTCAGTAGAATAAGGATCAAGTGTAATAATATTATTACTTCATAAGGAAGCACTTACGGCCACATGGTAAATTGTCAGCAATGAGTGTCTCGGTTAGTCTAGATACATGGGTCAGTAGGTGCGGGGAGGTCGTTTATTAAAGGACGACACCCGGTGCTTTCGCGCCTGAGCAAACAGCGGTATGTGGTTAGAAACATTCATGCTGCGCTGGAAGCGCTTTAAGCCCGCTGGTTGTTTCCTTGTAGTAAAGACACGCTAGTAGTATTTTTTGTGTAGGTGGTCACATGTAAAAAGCATTTGAATTGTATGTATTTGCTTCCAGCAATGCATCATTGTAGTATTAAGCAAAGTGTAAAGGTTGATATAATAATTAGGTGACTAATCTATTTGTAATGTATCAGTGATTTTAAAAGCATCTTCGCCAATAGACGGTGCTCGTGAATATTATGGTTACTTGTAATTAAGTATATAGTTTCTAGTTAATTCATACGAAACAAATCCGAGGGTCGTTTTTCGACACAGTATTGGTAACCGATTTTGGCAAACAGGGAACCATATTTCTTTCACTCCATGTTTTTCTAAGTGCAGGCTTTTTGTTGGCTTTAGCGGACAACGTTTGTTTGGCGTCAAGAGCACTGTTAGCGTGTCCTTAGGCTTGGCTTTCATATATCTTTGGTATTAAGCACATTCGGACTTAAAGCAATCAGGGCACTGCAAAAATTAATAAGTAATAATGTTAGATAAGATAAAAGCACTAATTGGCGTTTTGCACCGTTTTATATCTCCACACTGTAATGATTTTTCACACAGGTTACTCGAAGAGGCGGTGGTACTTCCTTTACTTGTACCCCATTTTTTCACGGGCATCCGGCGGCCCTGGAAGGGTGTGCTTATGGTAGGCCCACCAGGTACTGGAAAAACTATGCTAGCCAAAGCGGTGGCCACTGAGTGTAAGACTACCTTCTTTAATGTATCCAGCTCTACGCTAACATCTAAATATCGGTACGGAATTAGAGTAAACAAAGCCTATTATTATAAAAGTTTCCTTTAATTCAACAAGATTATGTATGTGATTTGGTATATATTCATAGGTCAGATTATGAAATAAGAAGTATGAGTACCGGAAAGAGTTATGCAGTTAGTTATGATCTAACACTGATGTTTTGTAGGCATTTAGTAGGATAACCTCAGTTGTGAATGTTTTAAAATTTCTGGATAATTAGGTTACACATGAACAAAGTTTAAATTACACTGCTTGTGCATAGTAGTAAAAACTTAGCGCACATCAGGATATTTCTGCTGAGCGCTAAGTTCATGAGCTCGTCTATACTTATTGACGCATATTCAGAAGAGCTATTACATGGCCATGTTAGCCTTGACCTACCAACCTTTATTGCATTTTTTAGTGGAGAAAGTGAGAAACTCGTACGACTGTTGTTCGAAATGGCCCGTTTTTATGCTCCGTCAACCATCTTCATCGATGAAATCGACTCATTATGCTCGCGCAGAGGAAGCGAGAGCGAACATGAAGCCTCACGAAGAGTAAAAAGTGAATTACTTATACAGATGGACGGAGTCACAAACGGCGATGACCCAACCAAAGTAGGCATCCAGTTAATTATTCGTGATGTAGTAGAGAGTCACAATAAAGCGAAGGCCTGTCAAGCTTTTTCATTAGAAGTACTAAAGTAAGAAGTACGGAGTTAGTTTTTACTTACCCTCTCAGAGCCATGCATTACCTTTCCTAGCAGAATATCTGATTTTTTTTTAATTGATAACCATTTCTCATTGGTGTTAGCAGTTTTTGTAAATATGAAGTCTTCAACAATGCCGTATCTTACACCAAAGATTCCCCGAGACACCTAAATATGATAACCTGAGGCCGCATTTATTCCCCTTTAAGGAAGGTGCAAATTACGCACAGTACATTTATCTTTCTGCCTTCTTATACGTTTGTACATACATTTTTGTGGTACCATATCAAGTTTTATATTACTAATGGGGTGATGAATTTAGGTGGTTATGGTCTTAGCAGCTACAAACTTCCCTTGGGACATTGATGAGGCCCTCCGCAGAAGGTTGGAAAAGAGGATCTACATTCCACTTCCGAATGAGGTGGGAAGGCAAGCACTACTTGAGATAAACCTTCGTGGTAAGTGATCAAGTAGAACTTATCACTCGATATGTAATCGAATAAAGATCCCAGAACATTGACAGAAGGAGAAGTACATCCACTGTACTGTGTAAAAAAACATTTTGTTCAATTGAAAACTGAGATTAAGATTGACTCTCAGATACATATTGAAAAGAGTATAGGTAGGCAAGTAAATAGCATTAAACACTTTGTACAACTGTATTATCTACTTCACACACAGTACTTTAAACACAGTTAATAAACATAGTTTTTTGCCGGAAGATTAGACTGCGTAATAAAATACAAAAATATGGTTTAATTTTGCACAAAAACGATAGCTTCTGATGAAGTAACAAATCCCTAAACACTATTTCAATCTTCCTCACCTAACTAAAAGATAAAGAAGTTAATAACCAACTTTATTATTAAGCCATCAAGTTCAATGATTGGTGCTAGTCAGGTGCCTTCACGAACATTAACCTGACCACTTAGGCTTCCATGTCTGGTAACGTTAGTAATAAGCATTAAGGGTAAAATCATTGACTTAAGCTACATATTAGCTACAAATCTATAATTATTTTGTAGTTATTAGGACATTAAAAATAATACATATTAGATTGAAATCGCCATTTTTCTTATATAATAAAAATTACTGTATGATTGAGTGTCTAATCAATGCCCTTCACGAAATTTTAGATTGTATACTAAATAAGTTTTTAAAATGCTAGAAGTAATATAGGCTTCGAAGTAAATATGTCAAAGATTATCTTAAATGAATATAAAATTTCAAACTACAAAATCGTCATGAAATTAGACTACAGTGTAATCTATTATTGAATTTGACAGAATTATTGAATAAATATGGCACTATACAGAATTATTGAATAAATATGACAGGACTATATGTGCAGTAGGAATACAGAAGTTTGAGCTCTATTGAGTATGTCGTCTTGTTACAAGCATTACCGGACGCAATGTGAGAGTCAAAGGAAAGGGCTTTCGTATTGCTTTTTTAGGAGTGGAGCAGGCTGCAGACTTGGACCTTAGCTGGGTAGCGAGTCGCTTAAATGGGTACTCGGGTGCAGATATCACTAACGTTTGCAGGGACGCCTCTATGATGTCAATGCGAAGAAGGATTTCTGGACTCACTCCAGATCAAATCCGGTGGGTGATCGTGCTTATTGAAGATATAAAGTAAAAGAGTAATTTATGTTTTACTGTTTTTCTAGACTTTACGGTTTCTTACTGTTGTTTAGGACCGGAGCGGTCTGACTTGGATAACTTTATGGATATTAAAAGATATGGCAACATCTTAAGATTTTTAAAAATATGTTTTTGTTCTCTTCCACAGAGCTCTGTCTAAAGAGGAATTGGAAATGCCGGTGAGCCTAAACGACTTCGAGGAAGCAATCCGAAAAGTGAACAAATCTGTATCTAAAGAAGACCTCGAAAAATATGAGAGATGGATGAATGAGTACGGGTCAATGTAATTGGTGATAGATACACAATAATCTTTATCTAGGTCGGTTATGGGCAAGCTAGATTTCTATAACAATTTTTCCTAATACAGGTCAAAGCTGGAAACTGAAGGAGTGCAAGTATTATAGGCTCTGAGATTTGCGACAAGAATACAGCCAAAAGTTGACTATTTCGAATGGCCAATAAACCAAGGTCCCGACGCCTGTGATTACAAGTTAATGTACTTCCCAGCCACGCCCTCACACCCAATTCAGAATTTCAGTTTTTAAATACTAAAGAGCCATTCAGTATAAGCCAATATGTGTGGTTTATACCTATTACACTTAACGGTTTTGTGTAATTATTGAAGCTTGTCGAAGTGTACTGCCACACTAGCAGATAATACGATACATTCTATAATTCTGCAATTTGTAGCACATACATACAAAGGTCGAGCGCAACTAATAAATTGCACCCTACGATTTAGTGGCTCGGACAAAATAGAAATTAATTTAATTCAGTAAATATATAAGCTTCACCTATTAGAAGTTCTGGCAAAGATAGACGTTTTGTGAAATCCTCTTGAGTTAACTAAAGGAACAATTCGAGTATTATTTAGACAAATATTCCAATGGACTCGTATGAGTTTGCTAAATGGTAATTAGTTTGGTTGATCCAGGTATGACTGTCACGCATTAATGAAATGTGACAACTGTTAAACTGCAAATAAAACTATCATATTGCGAGGTCTACGAAATCTGATTGCGTATTTTACATAAATATGGTCCTTAGCGTTATTTGGAGAGACCTAAAACTAGGCCAACTTTTTTCTTTGCATTTGATATTAGTAATTAATCTATATTCAGTAATCCGATGGTATGACATAATTTTGTAAGATCCGCTTGACACAGAAACCTGTGTTAAAACTCTCAAAATGTTTTATATGTTGCCAGACAAGTAAGTGCTAAATTAGCGCACTAGTATATAAAAGTAATTAGTAGCATTCGGCTGAGCCATTGTGAACCTTTTTTCATTTTCAATCAATTACTAATTTTGGCAAAAATTACAATTGTGTAGTCATTTTTTTAAATTTAATTTGAGGCATTACTAAGAACCTTGTTTACCATATCAGTAAGCACTATTTCTTACCACACTTCTTCTTACTACACGATGCAAAATCGATACGCCGTATATCAAAGACAATGTCTACTACCGATAGATCAAATTTTTTTCGAAACCATAATCGGAACCAAGTGCCAATAGGAGTATTTGACAAAAATTGCAACTTGGAAGTTGTTCAGGTTCTAGCGACTCATTTATACTTTTTGACAAATTATTTCCTGCATTGCAAATCAAATATTTTTGAACAAAAAAATTCAGTCGTTCGGACACATTGACTATGACCGTGTTCGTATTGTTTTACAGCTTGTAGTTCTTGCTTCGCCCCTACCTTTTATATTTTCAAAAGATTTCGAAAAGGTACCAGTTTACAATAAAAAAAAAAATGTTAAAAAGACTTCGACGTATATGAGTGTAATCATATAGATGTAAAGTTTCCGGTGATTTTTTATGAGGTGTTAAGTTAAAAAAGTTCAAATAATTCGTAGAAGAACTGAGTCGCAAATAAAATGTAGGTTTAGATTTTCATGATTGTGAGTACTCCGCTTTACATGCCCTCCACCACGGCAGGTTTCATAATTTAATTGCGAAAGCTTTACATCAGCATAAAAGTATAAAAGTGTTCTCCCAAGGAGTGGAAATGACATGCATATGACTTGCTTAGAGTGTGATACAAAAGAAAAGGTGAGTTGTGTTCTATCACGTCGTACACTTAATATTCATAATGCTAAAAGTATTTTGATAACTATTACTATTATATTCACTGAATACTCTGTTTGCAGACGCTCCGCCCCTCATGTTTTCTAATGCGGGTACAGCAAGGAAAACTAAGAATCGTGAGAATAGAAGGTTGTAAATAATTGGAGCATAAAATACATTTAAATCCAATTCGCGAAACGATATAAAGTCTAAATTACAGAGGAATTCTGACGGCCATTAAATAGCTTTCTTTTTCTTACTTGACATAATTTTCGCTTGCTGGATTTATATTGTTATATGTCTCTAAAGAAATCTATACTGTCTGACATTAACCGATATATAAGATAAAAGAATCCGACATTCTCTGTACAATTGGAAAGATGCGCCACAACATTGCAAATCGCCTTAAAGGATTGTAGCGAATGGCAAACGACCTGTATTCTAAACTCCTTGAAATCATGCAGATTTCCGGAAATATTAAAAAATGTAGGTTCTTACCTTTCGCTAAAATTCAGATTCACGCGTCGTTGAACAAAATACTCGCGATGAAATTGCGCAACTGAGCTTTTCGCTCAGGAAATAGAGAAGCTTTCTTTTTAATTTATAATTCAATACGCATAGTCGAATAGTACGTATCGAATTCCGATAACACTATCAACGTTATCAATGTATGCAATACGATGTTTTAATATTTGTGTAGTGAAAGCATGTTCACTCCATTTCCAAATCTGGTGACCGTTCTTACTCGCCCCGTTGAAAATATAGTCCACATGACTAGATCATAAAAAATTTGAGGATTTTGATCTTTTTTTTGCGTCAGTTACATCTGGAGCATGCAACTCAGTGTTACACTTCTAAGCTACATTTAAGTAGAGGCGTGTTTTGGTAATCTTGTAAGTGACGAACTTAAATAATTAAGTGCCATTCGTATCAATCATTATTTGAATTTGAAACCGAAATAGCTTATAAGTCTATTGTTTGTACAAATACGTTGTTTAGGTTTGCGATTATATGTCCGCTAGTAATCGGGAAGCGATGCTGCTATACTTAGATTCGCTGAGGTCTCGCTCAAATAGGCCATGTAAAAATCTGGAGGGCATATTTTGGGTCGACAGTAAGCTAAATGACCCAAAAATCCAAGGTTCCATTAAAAAACTCAGAAGGTACAAAAATGCAGAAGTCATAAACGGCTTTATAGTAAATGATTGATATTTTAGTAGTCAAAATAGCGATAATCGGTGATAAACGAATGTTCGCTGCGGGAGATGGCCCGCAGCCCGCACGGAAATCCGTTCCAACATAATTTTTATTAATTTATATGACTGTTACCTACTGCCAAAAGCTAACCCCTTCTTTTAAGCCACTTATTTGACCTTCCGTGACTTTTCTCCGTAGTTTGAGCGCTACACGAAAAACCAACCTAGAGACATTGCATTCATAGATTCATTTCCAAACATCTGCCTTCTCCTTTTTTGAATTGCTAAGCCTCTACGCATTTAAACTGGTGTAACACGAGAGGGCAAGACTTGGACTCTATATTGTACATACGGGATTTTATCACCCATGGCCTATCATAACTTTCAAATAGGCATAACTACATGAAGTCTAGCATTACCGTTAAACAAGATAACTTTCTACCGTTATTTGTTTATTCAAGGCTTTTGTTGTCAATTTCTTGACTAAATTTAATGACTTGAATCGAGTTGAAACATGCATTTACCGGTTTATTACATTCAAGAGCCTTCTTCGAACCCCACTATTTTAGAAATTTAAGTGGAAGGGTGTCTTTCCTATTTTTTATTAAACCGAAAATTATCACAAAACTAATTTCAGTATTGAATCTGTAGAAGAATAACTCCTTTTGTGTGCTATAAGTAAAGGATACACTCGAGTTAATTAGCAATAGCACTTTTGTTGGTCTCGCTTTCCCGCCGTTAAGGTCTCCTCTCAGAAGATTTGAAATAGTATGGCGGCTTAAAACTAACAGACAACTTATGATATCACTGGGCCGAATCTGTACGTGATAAACCTGATAATTCTCTCGCCTCCTGCAAATCCAAAAATACAAGAAATCAAGATCTCCAGTTCTAAAAAGCTGAACCTAGTAGGGTAAGTTGTAAATGAAAATGCAGTGTTGGATGTGCGGTTCTTTAGTGCCACATAGCGACCGTGCCGTAGATATGTATTACCATGTATGTTACTTCTTATACATATATAAATAAGAGAAATCTATATACATGTATATTCTAATGCTTCGCTTTCCTATAAGGGTAAATATGCAGCTCTGCCAAGCAATCTTAGCTACGCGGCAAAAATCACAAACTCTGTCTTTAACTACTAACAACTATAAATAACCACTGTTCTCTCACTTCTTTTCTATGCGATTGACAAAGACTGTCAGTGATTTGGACATTTTCAGAGCAAAGCGTGCGTACTGTTTCAGCTTGAAACTATCTTACGTGTGCATTTCCAAATCCCAGAATCGCGTACCTCTAAACTGTACTAGGCTCTTGTAGATGCTTTTGTATCGTGGGCGTCGTTTAATCAGCTATCGAGTTACGTTTCCTGTAGGTAGGTTCAAATACTGTGACCCACGCGGATTTGCTTCATTAAGCGTGCACTCTGAACATGCCACCCAGTCATCGAAGCGCTTGTCTTCTTTCAAAACGGTTACATTGCCAGCTTTTCTACAACTCCCATACAGTTAAAGCAGACTTATTCAGGCCTTATTTTTGGAACGAGCGCTCTACAACCTTTACCAGTTTGTGCTATTTCGCTCAATATGAAATGGAATAAAATGCTGTCAAAGATATATGTAAAATGAGTTTATAAATTGAGTATGTTTAAGCGTATACTCATGCAGTTTGAACATAAAATTTGCGTGTTTATTTACGATTTACTGATATGAACAAAGCACTAAATGAATAATCAAAGTTTCTTCCACATACAAATAAGGCCTGTATCCCAATATATACAGCAATTTTCTTTGCTGCAAAACGTGAAATGTAACTTCGACATGAATTCCAGAGTACTGCAACAAGCGAAAGTTTTTTTTTCATTGATTTCTACCGCTCTTTAGCGTATTAGCCATAAATAATGTAAAATACTATAGATGTTTATTCTTCCACAAAGGCTGTTTATTTTCGCACCCCTGTCTTCTTACACTCGCATTTGCGTATGGACGGAAGATCCACCGAAATTAACGAGTATCTTTCAGAATGAACACCCTAGTCTATACATTTGCCTATACTACTTACTTAATCAGCAGTAGCCAAACGGGCTCATTGCATTGTTCACTTGGACGGCCTACACTATACAGCCATGATGTTTTGGTCACGCAGTAGCACCAGCAGCAGCAACGGTGTCGTTGTTCTTAACTATTGTTGTTGTTATTGTTGATATTCGCAGAACAATAAGAAGGAACCAAGGAAGACACATAATAGTAAAATAATAATAAAAACTAGTGGATTCTGAGCACATCGCCCCATCGATGTGCTCTTCTCCATGTTATCCACGGCTACTGCTTTTCCATGCAATCAGAGAGCAAAACGAACGGCTTCCTGCAGCAAACTGAAGTCTAAATCATAACAGGACAATATACGAGCCCGACAAACCTTGAAATAGTTGGTAGAAGCAAAAGCTGCACGAGCACCGTGAGAAAATGGAGAATGCTAAAATGGTTCCACTCTTAGGTAGAGGTTTCACCTTGGCATCATTAATAGTTGCATTATAACTAATAAGTGAATGTACCGTCTGTTCGAGATGCTTTAATCAACACGTTTACATATAAATATAGTGTCAAGCACAGAAACAACGAAATTGCTTTATTATCCTTCTGTACTCTGTACCATTTACGACCTATACTGGAATGCCGAAGGTTTGGGAGGAACAATTTGAAGAATGATATTTTTCGGACACAAATACGGCACAGCTGAAGGCTGTAGGGTACGGTATTTTTTCTTAATTTCCAAGATTGTCAAGATAAACAAAATTATATGTAACCAACTAGTACAGTAATAATACTTGGATAATTCGGAACCTATTTGCGATATATAGATCCCCGTTACAACACTGTCAATCATTACCGCAAAAAACATCATCCTCAGACTTACCGGCGATTAATGAAG